GAGTAACAATTTGTAATTTTGAATGTTTAATGGTAAAATTCACAAAAATTTGAAATATAAGTGAAAAAATGCAATTAAACAAAAAAAATCTGAAAGAGATTTAAAAATACGAATATGATCAAACTTTTTACCCTGTAGGTCTCAATTATTGAAAGTAATAACATTATTGTCAATTTTATATTTATTTATCTCAAATACCATAAAGGAAATACCACTTTTAGTTGTGAACAGTTTTTTGGCTCTCATTTTCCTTAGAGTAAATAGTACATGTGGTACTAATATTGTTAAAATTACACTCGCAGTACACAAAAATTAAGTTCATCTACTCAACTTACCCCAAAAAAATGTGAAGACACAATAGCGTCTATCTCTCCTCGTACATATAGCTTTTTAAATTTTTTCCTTAATAGTTGACACATATCTTTTTGGTCTACGACCTTAGATATCATACTAAGCATCTGATTAATCCAAAAAAATCTTTTTTGATGAGTTTTTTTTATGATTAATTTATAAATATACAATTTAATATATTTATATTTTATTCTGATTTATATTAATAAATTAAATCTTGTTGAAAGAGACTTAAATTTATTTAATATATTTATATTTTATTCTTAAAAAATTGATAACTTGTTGGTACTATTTTTTATGGATAAAATTTATATACAATTCCATATATAATATTAGTATAGTTCTCCAATAAAAATTTAATAACACACATTATATAATAAAATATTCAATTAAATGTCAACACATTATCAAAATAAAATTTCAATTTAGTACACACATGATTTTAGATTCAAATTAACCCTGAACTTCAATTATAAATAAAGAATGATACTAATAACACTTGTAGAACTATATGCATGTGTTTGTCCTTCTTTTATATATTTCACAATGTTGGAGATAGCTTCCAAGGATGGGAATGGGAAGGGACCCTTATCCTAGTCTTCCCCCTCCCCCCCACCCCTAGGGTCTTAGGAGCTGCCTAGTTTAATTCATTAATGGATCCAACAAGTGTACACTTTAATTAGGACCACCGTGAAGTCAATGCATGTTAGGGTTCAGTTGATCTTGAATATTAGAGTTGGCACACCCACACACAACGCTATCATGCATACCCAATTGGTCAGTAAGTTTGATCCAGAACTACATGTGACACCCACCTAAAGAAATCAATTCTATGTTCAGCTTCTGTGCACTTGTCATAGGCTAGTATGAGCCAGCAATGCAACTTGGACTTAACCACCAACTTATATTCATGTACAACCCTCCCACCATCCAGTGATGTGAGACTACACTCTCATCTCATTATGACAACTGAACAAGGAAATTATAATAATAATAATAATAATAATAATTATTATTATTATTATTATTTGTGCCAAAGGAATATTGCTACTTTCTTCACAATTATTGAATTCGCACTATGTACATGTGTAGCGTAAAAATGGAGGAAACACCATTTTCACTTTTTCATCACCCAAATACTATGTCTCTAGTAACAATTTGTGCCCCACGTACTGCTGTTTCCAATTTCATCAATTTGGTTCCCTTAAATATGTAAATTTCCCTAATGTCGCCCCCTTTATCCTTCTGAGACAGAAATCAGTTATGGAATTTTGAATTGGCTTTACTTAAATTCGTTATATATTGTTATTGTCCATTCTAGACAAGACTCTCACGTAAGTTTTAATCAAGACAGCGATGGGTTTTAATTAATACCAACTTAGACATACCCCTTTAACGAGTTTTATCTATTGTGAAAGTTTATATTTTGAATTAATTAATAAATTGTCAATTAAAGCATCTTTGGAATACGAAATATGACTTGACTCTAAAAAAATCTGTGGTATGCATAATATGTCTAAACGAACTTAGTTAATGCCAGTTTAGATTACTATAATTGTTTTTTCGTTAGCAGCGAATCTAGTTAAACTTGGAAGTTTTTAGCGAGTGGGAGAAAAACCTGATTCATTTTAACTTATTTTAATTAGTACATTGGATTAGTAATTAAGTCTTACTCAAATAAATACAATATAAATCATAATGATCATTCAAAATAGGATTGGATTCGCCAACTGAATTGGATATAGTCATTCAATGACTCCAATCAACTTTCAAAAATCAGAATTTTAAGACTGCTAAAATTGAACTTAAACCAATCAACCTTTTGATTAAGAAAATCTATATATATATATAGATAGATATAAACATTAAATTATTTTATATTATTACATATTTAATTTTCAATTTAGAACTAAAATTGATCTTTTTCTTAATTTTATATAAAGTAGAATAAATTAAAGCTTTTAAAGGAAGAGAGAAGTTTGATTCAATTTATAATGAGCAATTGAGAATACTCTCCTCATCTCCTTTTACTTGTTTAATATGAGACTGGTAAAGGATAAGCAGTTTTATCTCTTTCCTTTTACTTAAGCATGATAGCAAATTTCATATTTTGGAAACGGAAACAAATTCATGCCGTTTTATTAAATTGTGTAATTTTTTTGTTTTCATCAATAAAATAGAAATAATTAAATCTATATAACTAATATGATCAAATGAATGAATTACTAGAATTAGTCTAGCGACGGTGAAGAATTTGGATAGTATCCATTGTAGGGTTGTTATTGTAAAATAAAATTAAAAAAAAAAAAAAGTAATGTCAAATGAATTGAAAGAATATTCCTCCATGTGGTGATGAGCTCAACATTTCTTACCACAATTATAAATATTTTGTAGTTTGTTTGACCTAGAAAACAAACTACTTGCTTCCAACACCCAAAGCTCATTCTCCAAGTTTGAAAGTGCAGAAGAATCTTTCTCTGATTTTCAGATTTTGTCTAGAGTGACCTTTATTATGTCAAGTAACATATCTAGCATGAAGACATATATAGGTTACTCTCTTGAATGGTCTTCAAAATTAAGAGGCCAAAATGATTACATACCACCTTTTATTTATTGTCACCAAGTACCCTAAGATTTTGATTTGGAGTTTGAGGGCAAAATGGAGCTCAATGTTTATTTTTTCTTTAATTTATATTAAATTTCAATGTTTTAAATTTTATTTATAACTATTTATTTCAAAACATAGCTATAAATAAAGTAGGTATTTATCTTATGCATTGCACAAATTAAAATACTATCTTAAAATAAATTTTAAGATAGATATATAAATAAAATAAATAAGTCTTTTACTTGTTTAATATGAGTCCATTATAAGTTTAAAAAATCAGGTTAGTATTATTAATATTTCATTCTTTTTACTCTTTATATAAGAAAAAAATAGTTAATTCATCAAGATTAATAAAAAGTAGTCAAGTTAGTTGATTTTAATTCATAATGTGATAAATTTAAATTTTATTCCAAAATAATATTTGAATTAAATAGTTTACGTAGTGATTATATTAAATAAAATTACATATAATTCAAAAAATAATTTATTCTATCAATAAGTGTAACTTATATGATTGATTGAGCCATCAACTTTTATATATTAAATGTGAACGACTTTTTAAGGATTATATTTTAATAAGAGCTCTTTGAGGGATTCTCTTAATTTTTTATATAATTTATATTTTATTTATCATATTTATTTATGAATTAAATTTTAATATTTTAAAATAATTTATCAATAATTAAAAATAATTTTATTCTACAATATAAATTATTTATCATAAATCTAAAATATAATTTATATATTTAAAAATATTTATTTATACAAATTTTAATATTTATTATAAATTTTTGTTATATATAATAAATATTTAGTCCGTAAAATGTACATACTAAAATTCAAGTAAATACATCTAAATACATAATAGATGAGTAAATATCTTATTAATAGATTTCACAAACAATTAAGTGTGCAAAAAGAAAATTAACAATTAATACATCCTTAGGCGGGTCTGACTTTTTGTAATTATGACAAAAAAAAATCCATTTATTTTTCATACAACGGATCGGAGAAAACGTTAATATATTAAGATTGGCCCAGTAGACCAATGTTTAGATGGTTCATATAAAATCGTAAATTTAAACTCATTACCTTCATTATTATACGTCATAAAAGTATTAGTATATTATTTTTAATTTAGTATTTTAAAGTGGGCCGCTTAACTAATCTAACCCAGAAAATTAAATGGTGTTTTTTTAAGCAATTAAATGGGCTCAATCACAATATCAGTGTACATTTATCTATCTATCTCTACTTATATATATATATATATATATATATATATAACCAAAAGAATTCAATTTGATTATTAGGCTTCGTAATTGAGTATAATAAAATTTAAATCAAAGTAAAATGTTAAAAACATAATCTTAGCACTTTTTTGAATTTTGAACACACTCTAATTAGTTAAAATGTATTAAAAATTATAATTTAATAAATTTTACACCCTATTTAATAAATCTCTCTTGTAATGAATTTTAATCGATGAAAGAAACTGTATTTAGAAGAGTGTAAGAGACTCAGCACTCCTTTAAATCAAAAGCATATATGTGTGACTTCTTTTGAGTCATTCAGTTCCTAACTAAGCGGGTTGAAGTAAATAACTATTTATAGCATATATAAATATATATATATATATATATATATATATATAAAAATAAAAACCTGCTAAATAGTTAGGATTTTAAGCATGTGGACTAAGATTTAAATTCTATAGATACATTATACATGAGAGAAAAGTTGTACGAGATAAAATTCATTTTGGTAACTTGAGAGTTGCATATATTTTTCTTCAAATTTGTGAGTAAATCCTAGTTTCTGATATACAGTGATTACTTATATAAGCAACTTCCTCTTTCTAATGCAACTCTCTTTGTAATATGATATTTGACCATCTTTTGTCTCCCAACTTCGCGCATATACCATTTCAATTAGCAGTAAAACAAAGCAATGTCCCTATAAGAGCATGTGAAGCCCCTTCAACTGCTGCAAACGACTAGATTTGATGCTATGTAAATTAATCTTACGGATAAAACAAGCATTAAAATGGTTGACTTGAACTTAGTTTTCTTTCATCGTTGCTTTCCCCTGAAACACTTCACATTGCAGTTCAGTAAATGAGCTTCTCACAGCAGACAGCTTAAAAGTAAAATATAAACAAGCATTATTCACATCACAAGCATTTTCGTATGCTGTAACAAAAATATTATGAATTAAATTTTAACAATCCTAACCATCCACGGGACGGTAATGTAAACAAAATTGCCGGAAGGTAATGTATTTTCCTTGTAAGTACACCCGAAAGGAATCATCAGAGCCTCTTGAGATGCTGAGTTTTGGAACTGTGATTCTCTTCAATATGTCGGGTCAGAAGTGAGATTCCATAATGTGAGGCGCTCGAGGCAGCATAATAGGATGTTACAGTAAGTTGAGTGAACTTTGGAAGCACATAACCTAAAATTTCACATGTATCCCATTACCAAAACGTATTTAAAGCATGTAGTATCATCACCACAATAAACTAAAGGACTTGAACACCTCTAACTCTAAGTGATGCTTGCTTGTGAAAACTATATGACACACCACAAGGAAAGTAACATAGGATATGCCAATGTAAACAACAGTTCAACCTATAAGCAATATAGATAAAAAAAAGCTGGGAATTTCAAGCCCCATTTCTCGAAATTACATGTTAATAGTATAGTCAACTGAACCACATAAAAGAGCAATTGCAGCAAAAAATGCATCATGGACATCTACTGTTGCAAAGCTCCATTTGCATCAATAGTTGGGGATGCAGCTGTTAAAGCGTGGATTTCCATTATGTGCTAAACAGGGCAAGGTATCCTGACTTGCCTTTCTTCTTATGCATATGGTGGACAAGTTCCTAAGCCATAATAGTAATATCACTTATGCCCTAGTCAGGTATGAAACTACTCTAGAGGGGCCCAATGATACCATCCAAGAAAGGTCGAATACAATTAATTAACACATTTGTTAAATCAAAAAACAATCTTGAATCCTTCAAAATATGTTTTAATGCTAACAAACTTGAAAATTTATGGTAAATAAATAATTATTAGATCACATAAGATGAAATTAAATAGATGATTGATTATGATGACAAGTAGTGTATCAGGCGAATCACTTCGTCTGTCTATAACAAATACATTAAATATATATCATTTATGATGTTTAACAACCAAATCATCTTTTTCTATGTTATTCCTTATCAGATGAAAGAATAAAAACTCCTTTGATACCGGAATTTCAAAAAGGAACAAAATTTGTTTTTCGCCAGAAAAGGACAAGCATATATCTTTAAGTATGCAAAATCTCAGATAAAGTCATTTTCGACTGACATACAAAATAGTTCCTCCCGTTTTATACTTTAAAGGTGATAAGTAACCTTCTTAATCAAATAAGTAACAATTTGGTGAAATGCATTTAATGTACTAACGAACATTCCTCTCTACAAGGAAGGAAGATGAAAAAAGAAGAATCAAGCCTATGAGAGAAGTTCAAGGATTTACAATGATTATCTTCATGAAGCACCTATATAAAGAAGTTTTAAGACTCAAGAAAATAGAACAATTATTGTAAACATTCATTTCATTCTTTTTGTAAATCTTAGTACTTAAATTGGTTGTGTCATGTCTCATAAGAAAGACGAAGCAACAAAAGATTTTCCCACTTTAACTTTGTGTTATGGCTTGAAGTCTGAAGAGGTTTTGTTGTAAAGAATACTTAGTTGTTGAAGCCTAAATAGGGGGGTTACACATTGCCTAAATAGGGGGGTTACACATTACACCACAATTTTGAATCATACGAGATATTTCAAGAAATGGTAGATCTATTCACTCTATTAATAATCGAGCCAAATCTAGTGCATCATGAGAGACTTTGTTGTTTAAAAAATACTTGGATAGTTATTTTACGAGACAAGTCAAATAATACTAAGGTTGAGCTAAAAGTGGTTTGTGACCAAATATTTGTATTTTTACAAAGCATAGTGAAACTTGATGAAGTTGATCAAGAATAGGATGTAATCTCAGTGGCTGAGACAAACTAGTACAAAAATATTGTGTATTCTTTGTTCTTAACTCTTTGTTTGCACTCTTAAAGTCTTGATACTACTTCACTGTTTCCAAATAGTGTTGAGTTTTTTAATTGGCACTATTTAACCCCCTTCTACTATCTTTCCTTTCTTCACAATTTGGTATTAGACCTCATCCTTTGACAAGGTTGAGCATCTAACCATAAAGAAAAAGATCCTAAAATGGGAAACAGTGATGGTTAGTATCTATCTAAAGGAGCTTCTTTTACAAGGTCTCTAGCCTTTAAAGGAAAAGATTACCCATATTGGAAAGATAAGATGGAGATTTTCATCAAGTTCACCCAATATCACCTCTAGAAGACCATCACAAGTGATGGTGATGATGTACTTGTAACCAAGCCTGAAAACGAATACACACAAGAAGATTACAACATCCTATGGGCTATGACTCAACACAAAGGCAAGATACATCCTATTTGAGATGGTTCTTTCACCTTCAATTTCAATCATCCAGTTACAATATTTAATCATTTTAGGGTTAATGACTACACATCCGTCAAAGACCAAGTATTCTAAAAACTTGAGCTAAGTAGATTAATATCTAACAACTTCAAATTTTTTAATAAGACTATAAATTAATGGCCATTCAAGTAAGTTCATCTTCGATTTGTGGATGATGGCCTGCTGCTGAGTGCTAGATGTCTGATTCTGATTCAAACTTGTTTGTAGATTGTTGTTGTAAGGATTGAACTTGTTGGGATACCAGACAGAAAAGCGACATAGTATGAAAAACTTGCAAGAACTAAATGAAAACTCTCCGGTACGATTTAGTTTTGGATGTAAACCAAACCAAAAGGCTCCTATAGACTACATAAATGAAGCTCTGCCGCCTCCTTACTGGAGTATTACAAAAGTAACAAAACTACACCACTCATGGACCCCACTCATGGACCTCTACCCCTAAAGCCCACCTGATACTACCCCTAATTTTTAGCACAACAAACTGTGTAGCAGCCTACTACGGCTCGGCTCAACTTAATCTTTCCTAATTCTCTTTCTTCCTCTTTTGGTAAACCCTCCAAACATTAGCCTTTTTATCATTACTACCAAATGATTCTCCTTCAAAACAAGGGCCCTATCACTACCGTCCTCTTGAAGAATTGCCTTGTCCACAGGTGAAAGAGTGCTTATCATAGCCCTACCCCTAAGAGCCAACGTCCTAGTAGTTGTACTCTACAACGTTTCACTTAGTCTTTTTGGTCAGCCAACAGTAGGTAGTCTTTTGCGAGACACCAACCAGCTCTTATACTAATTGATAAGGACCCAAGCACTTGGAAACCCCCCCCTCAAAAAGCTAGCAAACAGGGGGGAGAACAAGCCACTTAACTAACTAAAAACTCTAACATGCATCCCATATTACTCAATATTGGACTAAGAAACCCCATAATACCCAAGTCCTTATCAATATATTACTCCTCCAACCAATGGATAACCTGGCTGAGAAGTGATTAGATCTCCAATGTTTATATAAATTCATCAGCAGACCCTGTTTGCCTCATGTCAAGCAACTCTTCAAAAGGAATTTTGAATTTTCTACTACTATATCGAGCAACTAAAACTCCTAACGTTTTCCATAATAGATAACAGAGATTTGGATAAGGATAGAAACTGAATCTTATTGATTAAAAATAAAATTTTCTATTAGAGCTCTTGCAATCAAGAAACCACAAGGAAATTACCCAGAGCATATGCTCCTACATGAAGACAATCTCCCTACTCCAACAAAAAAATGTTACTCACCTCAATTTGGCCCTCACTATCCACACCCACTCTGTATGGGGCCAACAAATTCCTATCTCATACTTGCGACTTCACTAACTACCATCCCAGTCACCTTTTTCTTTCTTCTAGAATATACTTTTGAAGTGGCTGGATATATTTCGCCTCAAACTGAAAATCTGTTCCATGTCCCTAGTAGGTTCAATGGCCTTATCATTAGATGATCCTCTATTTCCCAAAGGAGGCTATACCAGTGGATTGTTGACCCCTCCATGCCTAGCATGAACAGTATAACTTTAATCTCCTCAAGGTATTTTGGACTTCAAAATATAAATTAGCTCAACTTTGCATCCTACAGGGTCTTGGCCATCAAACACCTTCACCTTTATGATGGACATATGATACTCCTCCTGATGGTCTAGTGTCTACATAGCTTCTTGACAAAGAAGAACCTCCAAAATCCAAATACCTAGCTAACACGTGACCCCCAATTTTTGCATAATAAACGATGTGACTACCTACTCACTCAGATCAGCATTTCCTGATTCTCCCCTTGATTCCATTCTTGCTCCTTTGGTAAACTCTCCAAACTCGGGCCCCTTATCATTACTACCCAATAGTTTTCCATCTTCAAGGTCCTTGACCCTACCAGAACTTTTCAACCCTTCAACTTGTTTGTTGCCTATTGATGGGTATGGTTATTTGCTTGCTTGTTCTACAGTTTGTCAAACAATATTCTTTTCTTTGAGCATGCTTGTTGTTTTGCAGCTTTACATTTCAATGGGTGTGGCTAACAGCTGATGATAGATGTTGCAGAGAAGACGTACTTTTTTTTTCTTTTGGCACTAAAACTAATGTCTTTCATACATGCATTTTCAATTGAAGTTAGATAACATGTTAGTTGTGATTTTAAAGTTATTTTTGCCTATTACATTCATTTTAAATGCATTTATATTTGTTATATATAAGTTTTATATGAATTCAGGGTCTAAAACCGCTCACTATAGTGGTGTAGTGGTGCGGAGCAGCCCCTGCCCACTACAGGGGTTGCTGAAGCAGAGCAGTTTAGTGTAGTTGAAATAGCTGGCTAAATAGCAGCTGAAGCAGCGCTATAGTGGCAGTAGTGGTGCTGTGTTGGTTTAAATAAAAAAACTACGAACAAAGACTACAAGACTTATTTGGGGAGCTATTTTTGGAATTTCAATTTCCAAAAATTAAATCTGCAGATATAATACTAGTGAAAATGATAAGGAAGAAGACTTGCATTTAGAAGATGATGATTGATAGTTGACAAGTCCTACCTAGGAAACTTGTTTTTGACTTTTGTTGGTATTTACTTGTATGAATTGTTTAAGACACCTCCGACATTTTATTGTTAATTATGAATGCCAATAATTTTGACTTTTGAGTAGTTTTTATCATTTTTTTTTGTTTATATGTATATGTATATAGCATACATTATATAAATTATAAATTATATAAAACATTTCAAAATAGTTGCTATCCCACTATGGCGTTTTTGGAGCTGACCACTATGGATCGCTATCTGGGATTTAAAACAATGGTTGGAATCTTACCATCCATATTATTACTATAACAAATTCTTGTGTCTTGCCCACCCTTCTTACCCTAGGTAGTATCTTGAGAATTACAACATTGATTCAAGTAATCAAAAACCAAAACAAGAAAAAAATGGGGCATAACCTATCATTTCATGCTTCTTTTAAAGTTAAAGTCTATGCAATAGTTGTCACTTGTCAAATATTCAACTGTAGGCACCATTCAAATTTGAAGGCCCTAATATTAACCTAATAAATTGGCATGTAGAGAAGTTACCTCCAAACGTGGCACTTATGCCTGAGAATATCAATAATGGAGGGATCTGTGAACAAAATTTCAAAAAGAAATAAGTTATCTATAGAATAAAACCAAACTCTGGTACATCATTACATCTAATCCTCAAAGTACAAAAGGAAAAAATAAAGAAGGTGAAAGCAACTTCTACGATATGTCTATTCAAGGTATCAACAAAGCATAAAGCTAACTAATTGTAATCTGCAAAGGAAACTGAAAGGTCAATTAAGATGTACATACCCCTACAACAAAAGGAAGCCACTTTGGTCCCTTTAGACCTTTTTGAAGATAAGGTAAACCTGCAACCAACAATCCTTTAGAAATATCTTCAACAAAGGTACATAGATTTTAATTTTAATCCACTAACAGCACAAAGTGTTTAAGACCATCCATAAATAATATAATACAACACCAACAACAATAAGAAAGCCTCATCCCACTTGGTGAAATTGGCTACATAGATTTAGATAACGCCATTTGGCTCAGTAAAGACCAAGGTTTCAAAGATGTTATAACGCATATTTAAAAATATTATAATACGCAATTAAATAAAGAAATTGTTAAAAATATTTATTACAACTAAATGGCACAAATTTTACACCGAAAAAAGAAATACCAACTATTTATCAAATTTAATCTCATATGGTATGTCATAAAGAACACTAGAAAATAAAGTTACCTGTATTCCAAGCATGTACTGTACTAAGCATACCACCAATCCCCGAGCCAGCCTACAAAACATAAACCCAAAGAAAGTAAGAAAGACTAACACTCGTAAAACAAGCATATCGTCAGAATTCTAGCTCAAATAAGGTTAGTCTGAACTTTGAATTAAAAAGAAATCCCAATTATTCTTAATCTTAATTTCATTAAAATATTTATCTATAACAATATATAAAGGATATCCCTTCTGGTGTACACATTTTTATGACTAATTTGCCCTTAATTATATATTAAACAAACTTGTTCCATCATCTCACACACAAACCTTCTCCCACAGTAAAACTGTAATCCCACGTTCTCATAAACTGTTATCATTTTTTATAAATAAAAAAAAAAAAAAACAGAGGCCTAGATTGCCGATTTACACTAGAATTAATTATGCTAATATCATAGTTAAATAATTCGCTTGTCGCCAAAGCTATTTCCATTTTAAGTTTTAATAGAAAATTGTAACCTACACAAATTTATGCAAGGGTTTATCACCAAGAGAGCTTCCTCTGACGTTAACGGAACCAAAAAAGAAACTTAACTAAAAAGTGCAGTTTCCCTGTATAAGTGAATGGTTTAACCTAATATCGCAATTGTTATGACAAATGAAAAGCAGAGATGAACTTACGACGGCAGTGGCGTCGTGCAAGACGGGAGTGATGGTCCACTCGCCTCTCTCCTGGTCGCAAAAGAAAGCAAAACAAAGCTCGTTGAGTCAATTCATCGAACAGTTGATTCGCATCTACGATGCGAATGAGAGAAAGAGAGAGAGAGAGAGAGAGAGGACTCACGGAATTAGGGTTGAGGAGAGAGAGACAGCGAGGGCATCGAGCGGAACCGAGGCCAGGGTTGAGAGTGGGATCGTGGTGGAGATTTCCGCTCCTTAGTTTCTCTTCGTACACCTCTCTCGTGCCCATTCCTTCTTCGATTGCCGTCAACCACTCTGAGAATTAGACGGGGTTTAGATATATAGATGAGATGAGGAGGAATCCTCCCAATTCTTTAGATTAGAAACAAATATGTCTTTATCTCATTTTTCTTTATCATGTGTTTATCTCTTTACTACTATTGTTTGACTTTTAGTTGGGATAAATGTTTATTATATATATAAATAACTTATAATTTATATTGTAATAAAAGATTATTTTAAATTGTTAATAATATTTAAAAATAATGTTTAAATTTTTATAAAACTAAAGATGAATTAAAAAAGTGTTAAAAAATATCTAAAAGTTCTTTTGTAAAATAAAATAAAAAGATTGTTCTAATTAAAAAATAATTAGAGATTTTTAAAATGATAATTATGAGTGTTTTATTTGATTATTAAAGATTTATGAAATTATTTTGTTATGTGATTTAATTGGAGAAAATATGTGTCTTTATTATAATTATTTTTGTGCATTTGATTTTATTTATAATTGTTTTTATTTAAATAAATAAAAAAAAAGGTTTTTAGTTTTAAAAAGAGAGTTTTAGAAATTCATCTTAAGTTTGTACTTCTTTTTCTCATTTTTTTTTTTGAAACCTCAAGAGCTCAAATAGGAAAATGCAAGGAGTACGTTCTCAAAATCCGTATTCATTGTCAAGCAACTATCAAGGTAAGAATGGATTGAAGGAATGAGAGTTTTCTCTCTTGGGGTGTGGGGTATGAGTTGGGTAATAGGATTGACTCTCAATCTTATTGTTTGTCTTTTGTGCCCTATGGTTAATCTTTGACTTATATATGTTGTGAATCTATAAGATCCTATAGTTCCCGTGACAAACCTTAGGATGAAGATTGTTGAAATTGAGAGATTTTTGTAAATTTAATATATATGTTTAATCAATTGATGGTATAAAAGTGTAATTTAGGCGTTAATTATGTTTTTAATGTTAGAAGAAAAAAAATTTAAATAATATTATAATGTGACTCATGTGA